TTTCTTTGCAGAAAAACTTGCTGAGTAAGTTGAAAATATAGTTGAAATGTATTATTATTGCAGTATATAGACGGATGATAGTGTATGAATGATTTTTTCACATTAATATTTAGCAGTGAGAGTGTGTGTATTATCGTATACGAATTCAGACGTCATATTTTTCATCATATCTTAAGTATTGTGAGAAAACAGTGTTTGACTTTTCTCTCTCTGATGGTAATAGTTCCTTGAACAATATTATTTGATGCACTAGGGTGTATGTACTTTCTTGAGTGCATATGTTTACTTTTCTGCTTTCTGTTGACATTGTAACTAATTTATTCTTTTTTTTTATATTATCGATGCATTGTTGATTTCCTCATTGGTTTATTCATTTTGTTAGAATGTTCTGATTTCATGATCATTCTTATTATTATATAAGTTATTATTTATATTTAGAACTAATAAAGAAATTCATTGAATATATGTATATAAAAGACTTAAACTATATCACTTAAAAATTCGTCAATTATGTTTCGATATGAACAAGATGATGTTTTTTCGTATTCAGCATTTCGAAGAGTCAAACAAGGAATATTGATTTGTTTAAAAACTCACGAACTAAATATATCTTCAGAAAATTTTTCAGAAAATGACAACTTTTAGATTTAAGTTTGTTAAATACGTACAGTTCTATCAAAGATATCCGAATTCAATGTCGTCTTCAGGGTTTAGCAATCTAAATAAAGTTTATTTTTGATATATTTCTTAATATCTATCTTACAATGTTGTAATTGATGAAAATCATTATCGAGATTCATATAGATCGACGTCCTCCCTTACGTTTCTCTACAAGTTAATAAAAAGATATGCCAAGAAAGTTAGTTTTCGTTCAATTAATCGAATTTAATGATTTTTTTAGAGCATCAAGACGATGGGAAACATTAAAAAACGAAGTTCTACACATGGAACAAGCACGTCGATCCACATTTCATCGTTCAGCAACAACATCTGGTAATACTGTTGGGAATGATCAAAATATTGGTGTTACTAATACAGATGGTGTAAAGTCAGCAAAATTAAAACATCGTTCAGGTCACCATGAAGATGATAATATATTGACACCATTAACACGTGTATTACCTGAACGTTTAATTGAACGAACACGTGAAAAACAATCACAACGTGTACAATATCGAAAAAGAACTGATTTAAAATTAGCTTTCAGTGAATTCTATTTAATGCTTGTTCTATTACAAAATTATCAAGCACTTAATTATACAGGTTTTCGTAAAATATTAAAAAAACATGATAAATTATTTCAAACAACTCGTGGTGATGAATGGCGGTAACACATAATTATTGAAAAAAAAAGAAATAAAGTTTTTATCTTGATATATTTAGAAAATTACACATTGATTCAGCACCATTTCATTCATCTCAACGTGTGGATCAATTAATTAATGATGTTGAAATATTGTATACTGATACATTTGAATCAGGCAATAGAGCTCGTGCTATGAAACGTTTACATGTACCACCACTTGAAGAAAAACAATCGCCTGTTGTTACATTTCGTGTTGGACTTTTTGTTGGTACGAATTTTTCTAGACACAAATAAAAGAAATACAATACTATATTTATTTATAGGAATGCTTTTTCTACTACTTCCAACTGTCATTATACTTGGTACACATCTTCATGATAGTCAATCATCAAAACCATTAGCTTGGCGACAAGCATTATTTTTATATCGTTCAACATTTCTTGTTGTTCTTCATATTGCTCTAGTTGGTATAAATGTTTACGGTTGGTCATCATCTGGTGTTAATCATGTACTTATATTTGAAATTGATCCAAGAAATCATTTAACATATCAACAATTTCTTGAAATAGGTACTTTTTTATTTGTTATATGGTTTTTAAGTTTTACTGGATTTATTCTTTCGTCTTATTATGATTTTCATCCATTTGTTCAACCACTTATTTTTCTTACATTAATATTTCTTTTTCTATTTAATCCAACACATACACTTTATCATCATGCACGTTTTTGGTTTTTAAAAACATTACGTCGTGTTATTTGTGCACCATTTTATCGTGTTGGTTTTGCTGATTTTTGGTTAGGCGATCAATTAACTTCATTAGAATTAATATTTTTTGATATAGAATATTTCTTTTGTTTTTATTTATATGAAGTTGGATGGTGGTCTATTCATTCAAAATCACCAACAGGTAGCATATTTTGTAATGGTTGGCCACAAATAGTTTTACAAACAATTTTAATGATGTTACCATCATGGTTTCGTTTTGCTCAATGTTTAAGACGATATCGTGATACAAAACACAAATTTCCTCATTTAGCTAATGCTGGAAAATATGCAACTGGATTTCTTGTTATTAGTACAAATTCTCTACGTCGTGCAACAGCTATACGTTTTCTTGATGATCCAGCATCAAATCCATTTTTATATGTATGGATTATTGCATCATTTATAGGTGCAACATATAAATTAATATGGGATTTAAAAATGGACTGGGGATTTTTTGATGCAAATGCTGGTGAAAATCAATTTCTTCGTGATCAAATTGTTTATCCATCAAAATTGTATTATTATGTAGCTATTGTAGAAGATATTATTTTTCGTTATATATGGATTATAAATGTTTTTATGCAATTTCGTACACGTTCAGCTGAATATGCGGATGTGATTGGTTTTATATTTGGTTTAATTGAAATATTTCGTCGTTTTATATGGAATTATTTTCGTTTAGAAAATGAACATTTAAATAATTGTGGAGAATTTCGTGCTGTACGTGATATATCTATAGCACCAATAACAACTGTATTCGATCATGGAACATTAGAAGATATGATGGATAGAGATAATGGAGTTCATAATCGACGTAATGCTAAACGTTATGATTTAATGAAACAAAAAATCAAAACTGAAAGTATTCCCATTAATAATGAAACAAATGATAATGGTAATGTTAATGTTAAGAGACTATATTCATTGAGCTCTAATGAAAATCAAATAGTTGATGAATCAAATATAACATCACCTGTTATATCATTCTCATTAACGAATAATTAATGTCCAGATCCTGTTCTTTGAATATCATAATTGACGATTAATGTTTTTTGTCAATTGTAACTTTTGTTGGTACATTCCATTTCAAGACAAATGATAATGAATTCACATATGATGTGCTCTAGTCAATTATTTTGAAAAAGAAAAAAAACTAAAAACCATTTTTTGATCTAAACAGTGTTTTTATAAAAATTCTTGTGTGTTCTTCTTCTTCTTCTTTTCTGACTATATTAAGTTTTTTCTATAATATATAGATAAAAGAAAAGCGCTTATTAGATATTTCGTTTTTTTCAAAGTGTTTCATTGTATTAAATCATTGAATATAAATCTTGTTCTATGTATATTTTTTTCCTGCAAACCAAAATAAAACAATATTCTAAAGAAAGTGGAAGGCGTGTACTGTTCGACATTAAAATGCTAAAAGAAGAACGTCAATAATCCGAATCATTGTTAAGCACAGACTTTGTCCTTTACTTTGTCTCTGTACTATGTGCATGCGTGTAGTATTATATTGTATTGATCACAACCAAGAAAAAAGTTTTTCTTCTTGGATTGACAAGGATTAATAACTGCTGGCATTTTGCATTCAAATTTTACCAGCTTTACTATTTCACTTGAGGTATGCTGAATTTTAATCAATGCACTTAAAGTATAATTTGAATGTGATGGCTAAAAATTAAAAATTTTCTTCACTTAAAGAATTATTCAGTGCAAATCTAAATTATATTTAGTAGTGCAATTTTTAGCATGGATGTCGAAGTGATATTGGACGAGAACTTTGTCTCAAGATTTTAATAAGTCATAACTGGATACTATACAAGTCACAATCGATCTTCAATAAAGTCTATAAAGTTTTCCTAGAAGTCAAGTCTACACATTGAGATTTTGGTGAACATGTTACAACATAATAAACGATGAGTGCAAACTTCGTCAAAAGAATTTGTTAATGTTTATACTAATTCCTTCGACACCAATTTTACTTTTCGTGTCACCAGCTATCGGAATATTTTGTTTCTTTTTATTTTCTATTTAGGATTCGATTAGGGTATGTTGTATTAGAAACTTATTTTGGTGAGACATTATTCAAATTTTCAAAATGCTTCTTCAATTAAGAAATTTTTTTTGTCAATTTGTTTATTTGAGTACGACCAATAGATATTCATTGAGAAGCTTCAATGTTTGAATATAGTCTTAGATGATTTTTCTTACGATCTGATATAGAAATGTGAGTCAGTGTTACTTTTTTTTTCGATTTATTCAAGTAGTACCAAAGCTAGCTTTTATTTCGTAATGATATTGACGCTTGATACAGTACACATTAGTGAAAACAAAACTTCTACTTGAATGACATATGTTTTGATTATTAAAACTGTCTCAATTGGTTTAACATGCTTTTTGTTGAAACGATTTTACCAATAAGACACTAAAATTTGTTTAAACATCGTTTAGAACAAACAGTGTAAAAGTCATTTTCACAGATGAATGATGGAATTTTATCTTTTTTAAAATTGATGCTAGTCATATAAACTTTTGAGCTTGTCTTTTTATAGTATACATCAATGGACTTTTGTTTGTATTAGAATTTTAATTAAGTTTTAATGATTTAATTTTGCAGCCTTTTTTACACATGAGTTTAGTAATTAAATCTATTTACTCAAGTAATCTCATATAAATTTTAGATAGTTCTTCTCTATGATTTATTATATGTTTTTTAAAAAAACGGCAACATTTCTTCAAAAAACAGTCTTAGCGTTCTTGAAATGAATGGTGTCAAAAATCTATTCAAATTTGGTAAAATCTGTCTAACCGTTATAAATTTCATCATATCTTTTAATGACACAACCAAAAATAAACTTCTATCCATGCATATATTCGTTTATTATTTGTACAGAAAAAGATACATAAAAAAAAATAAGAAAACAATTCTTATGATTGTTGTTCCACGTCTGAACCAAATGTTGTTGATTGAGAAAGTGCATCATGAAATTCTACTAGAGGTAGAGCATCTGTAGCAGCTTGTCGTTTAAATTTTTGACGATTTAGTTTAACCGTTGTATTCTCAACTGAAGAGTTAATATGTTCATTTTCTCCAATTGAACTTTCAATAGTTGAAGAATGTTCTACTAAAAAAGAAAAAGAAACAAAAAAATTATTAATAAAAAAAATTATCTTTTAAAGAAAAATACCATTTCGATTTATTAATGATTGTGTTGGTAGTGTTGATGATGATTTCGTTGTAAAAAATTTACGTTTATTTAAAAATGATGGTAAATGAAAAGGAAAACGACCTTTTGAACGTGATCTTTTATTCATATTTTCTATTGAATCATCATCAACTGGTCGTAATGGTATATGACATAAATCTTTTGGTAACAATAGAATATACTTTGAACTCATTTTTATTCTTTGTTCTTCAGTTTGTGTAGCCAATGGTAAATTTATTTGTCGTTGACGAAGATATGGATTATTAACAAATTCAGATAGTCTAATTAATGAACCATTTGTTGATTTTTAAAATAGGAAAAAAACAGATCTTACTTTTGTAATAATTGATTAAACATCTTAATTGCAAGTTTTGTATCATCAAGTGTAAATGGCTAAAAATATATCAAGATTAATATTGTTTATAAGAAAGAAACAAAAATACATACAACTAGATCGATTTCTGCTCGAATTTTAAGTCTTCGAAATGAATGTATTGTATCATTTAATGCTGGATAATGATTAATTAAATAAGATTCAAATGGTGAATTTGTATCAATATCAGAAAATGTTTCTCGACATGTATGTTCTACAAATAAAAATGATAAACTTATTATCATTTTCGTTTTTATCTATTTAATTTACGTAAAACAGTATAAAGATCAATTGTAAACATTCGAGCGATATATTGTGGGCATTCTGAAATAAAAAGACATAAAAAAACAAGAATTTTTAGAAAAATAAACCAGTATGTGTCTTTTTACCATCGTTTGTATAAAAACGTTCAGGTAATTCATGATGACCAACAAGCAGCCATTGTGGTCTGACTTTTGTAGAGATTGTTCCATCTGTAGGCAATCTTGATTGAGTATACTGAAGAAAATAAACAAATTATGGATAAAATAATTTAGATATAATTTAAAATTTACTTTTCGAAAAAATTTACAAGACCAAAAATGTCCATCACGTTTGGATTTAACATTTCCTCGACGAATTTCTCGTTTGATCAATATAGCAATTACAAGAAGAAGCTGATTAAATGACAAAAAACGAAACAATGAGATTTAGGAAATATATATTTAATTTATCATTCACTGTTAATCCAACAAGACTGAGAATGAGAGCAGCTGATATACCCAATGATTCTTTCTTTGGTTCAATAGTCGTTGTTGTCGACATTGTTTTTATTTTATCTAAACACAATAGTTATTATATGAATTTTGAATTAATGACATTGTAAACTTTCATCTCATTTATTTTATTTTTCAATCAAACAATGAATGTCTTTTTTATAAGCATTCATCAATATTGATATTGATTATGTTATTTAAGTAACTTAGTTTGGTAGTGAGCAATGGATTTTTATTAATTTATAAGTCAAACTAATAAGTAAGACGGCAAGGTTCTTTTTAAAAAAAAAATATCTCTAACACAATCAGACAAACATTAAAAGACTCTACCTTATATTGAATCTTTAACCTTATTCTTAATATTGTTTATCTCACTTTGTTCTTTCGATTAATTGACAGATAAGAAGGTAAAAACGAAATAAAAACTCAATCATGTAGAACGTCAATCAAGGATTTTTTTATCAATATATTACTTTTTAAAATAGAGCATAAGTATTACACGTATTCTTCATTAATTTAAGATTATCTAAAACAAAAATATGAAATAATCATTAATTTTTATCCACGATCCATTATCAAGAAGAATAAATGTGTAGTAATTGAAAAAAAAAAAATAAATAATTATGAATTCATTAAGAATGAACCAAAATAAATTTTTAAATCGTTTAAAGTCGTTCGAATAAGTTAAGCTCGAATATTCAATAAACTTAAATGTTTATGAACTCTACGCAATAATATATATTATTTTATTTAATCATACCCATACCCGAACTATTATTACTCGTACTAATTAAAGTTCAATGCATGTTTAATAACGTTGTAAAGAAGAATGACAGAGTTTACTAAATGTACGAAAGTGATTGAAAAATAAACATCAATATACTCAAGAGAAAAACCTGCCCTCTTTAGTCTAGGATACAAACAAGGACAAAATAAAAATGAATCATCATGTGATCTTCTAGCGACATCTGAAAAAATTTGTATTCTCACAATAAAAATCTTTTTTTTTTTGTTTTTCAGAAGAAAATTATTTATTTTGCTTTTTATTTAGAGAAATAGTTAAGTTTTATTTTTTACTTTATGGAGGACAAAATGTCCTAAGCGGCGGGTAGTCGATCGTTTTAAAAATTTTCGAGTTCATTAATAACAAATATGTCTTCATCATCAGTTGATCGTATGTCTGGTGCATCAACACCGACTCTTCTTGCAATGTCATCATTTACAACAAATCGATTAAATGAAGAACTTAGTGGTCTTAAACGTTGGCGTCAAATGTATGATTCGGCAATGAATGAAAAAGTTAGTTATTAGTTTCTATTCGGTTTTCTATTTAATTAAACGAATTTTAGAATGAAGAATTACAAAAACTTCAATTAATTAATCAACGACAAACGCAAACACTTAATGATTCAATTGTAAGTGAAAATAAAATTCGAATAAGAATTTTATTTATTTCATATTTAAGGTGCAAATTGAACAACAAAATATGACAATTAATTCAATGAAACAAAATGAAGCATCATTAGAAAAAAAGTTTATCATAATTTTTATTTTTTTTCTATCTAATGAAAAATCTTCGTTTTTTTTATTATTAATAGAGTAGCCAAACTTGAAGAACTGCATCATATACTAAAGAAAAATGTTACTAAATTAGAAAAAACTGTTTCACAATGTAAGTATCGAAATCTGTGGAGTCAATTAAAACAATGAGAAATAATTTTATTGAATAATATAAAAAAAAAACATTATTTTTGTGTTACTCAGTATATAGTATTATGTTAATCGAAACGAAATAGCTAGATCAACAGATATTCGCTCTGCATATTATTTCATTTTCTTTGTCGTAGTCCTTTTGTGTTGGGGTTTAAGCCTATTCAGTAGTAATTTCTATCGATTTCAAGTTTTAAAAGTGTCTGACAGAGTTTCTGAATGCATGTACACGTCCGATTAATCTTTTCCTAACACGTATAGGTTTGAAATATTTGATAGGAAAATCTTGATTATGGATTCATAGATCGATACTAAAGTCGAACAATTGTCACCCGTTCTTCATAACTACAAGTCTATTGTCTTTCTCAATTAGTTTTAGCTCTTTGGCAATGAGCAATTTGAGGTATCGCACCATCCTCTATGCCTAATCCGACAGGTGGCAAAATTTTTGCTAATCATGCATTATTATGTCGTTGTGGACATTCGTATCTTGTTCGATTTAATTCCTATCGATTGACTACCAAACATTTTCGTATGATGTATATCATGAGAGATTTGTAGAGACCAATTCACATCACCCAGTAAACATGAAGACGAGATGAGCTTGACTTATCGCTCGCTTTGTATGTTGTATTAAAAATAAAAGTGAAGACAACATTTAAAACATGTACAAATAAAAATTGAAATGAGTAAATGTATCATCGTTTTCAATTTGAAATATCCTAATTAAACAAAACAAATATTTGTTAGAGTTAGTCAAGTGAGAATAAATTTATTTCATGTTTAGGTGAATTTGTTCGTGTTGATCTTGAACGAATGTATGAACATCAAGAACGAAATGTAAAAACACTTGCTGATCGTGTTGATTCAACTATTGAAACTAAATTACAAAATTGTATGTTAAATGAAATAAAAAAAAAACATGTCTTTTTTTTTGTTGATTATAAATTTATTTCATAGTACAATCACAATTGAAATTAGTTGAACAACTTCATGAACAAGCTCGTATGGAACTTAATAAACAAATTCATGAGCGAACACAAGAAAATGCTGAAACAACAGCTCATATTTTTGAATTAACAACAAAACTTGTAAGATAAATTTTTTATTTTATTTTTTAACAAAAAAAAAGCAATTTTCTTTGAAAAGTCATCAGCTGAAAATGAAATCAATCAATTACAAACAACAAATACAAATGCACATTCAAAAATTATCGACTTAACAGAAGAAATAGTTGAGAAATATTTTGTAATCGTTTCTTTAAATATATCTTTTTTTTTTGTTTAGAATAAATATCAACAAATGATTGAATTATTAGCAATTGAATATGATACAAAACTTAATTCAAAAAATCAACAAATTGATGATCTACAAAAACGAATTGATACATTAGTATTAAAAATTGTTCGTATGAAATTTTATTTTTCTTGTATAATTTTACATTCATAATTTTTTCAGGATGCTAGTAAAGATGAAATATTTAATTTACAAGAATCAAATCAAATTTTACAAACTCGTATTGATGAAATGAAACGAAAAACAGTAAATAATTCTATTAAAATTTTATGCAAAAGTAATGGTACAAATGTCATTTTCTTTTTCGAATTGTGCACAGCTTTGACCGTTTTCTGATAACAATCGATGTTCTTTTCGTAAGTTATGACTGATCGTTGATGGTTAATGTTGAAATATTTAACAAACTAGCAGTAACTGATACCAAAATGATTACTAACAGAGTTTACTAGTTGTCTTGATTTTTAATTAGAAAGTTTAACGAAACAATCATTCCTTGGTAAAAAAATTGATTTACTCGTAATTTTAAATATTCATTCAAAAATGTTATAAATTGTTCTTCTTAGAATTCCTTGGATTATAAAATAATTAACTATCTTTTTGAAACATTCATTTAATAAATCAATTAGTTATATACAATGAGGGAGAAGAAAACATTTATCTCATCACATGTTTATTCAAGAGAAATACATATCAATATTTTTTTCTGCTATGTTCAATTATATGAGAAAAGCACAGACTCGTTTTGAGTATGCTTCTCGTTTCTAATATATACATATGATTTATGAACGTATCATAAAAATAAGTTATATACAATTGAGAAGAGAAATATAAGCTGATATTTGTACCATTATTTTTGCATCATATGTTAGCTTTTCACAAAAAATCTTGTCTAAAAAATACACATCAACTATTAGGTTGAACATACAGAATATCATGAAACAGAAGTTCAAGCTTGTCAAGCTGAAATTGATATTCGAGAAAAAGAGAATGAACAATTGCGATTAAAAAATAATCAATTAATTGAACAAATGGTAAAAAATAAAAATAAAATCTAAATTTTCAAAACCTATTTTCCTTTATATCTAAGACAAATCGTGATAATCAAATAGAAGAATTAAAAGACAAAAATCAAATATTATTAAATGAAATAAATGAAATGAATCTTAATTTACAAAAACAATTAAATGAAACACGTGAACAATTTCATAAACAAATTAGTGATTATGCTAAACAATCGGTAAAATAAACATATTCAAAAAAAAAAAACATAAATTGTCGATTTCGAATATTTTATAGATTGAATATGACAATCGTTTAGAACAACAAATTGTTGAAATGAATGAAAAAGATAAACTTATTAATGATTTAAAAAATAAACAAAATGAATTATTAGACAAAATGGTTTGATTTAAAAACAAAATAATTCTGTTTTTTTTTATTTTTTTTGAAGTTATTTAGGAACTTATCGAAGAAGAAATTACACAATTAACAAAAGATAATGAAGATTTACGAACACAAAATCATGTTTTACTTCAAGAAACAGTAATCATCATCTTTGTTTTGTTTTCATGATTAATGATTTTATTTTTAAGGATGAACATAACGAACAAATCAAACAAAAAGATGTTATTGTTGAAGCAACAAATATTGAAATTGGTGAAAAAGAAAAAGAAATTGAAGAATTACAAAAGAAAGTCGTAAGTTGAGACAAAAGAACTTGAAAAATCTTTAAAAACCAAGAGTTTTTTTTTAGAAAATTTGTATCCCAGTCTAGAAACATTTATACATCTTCACATTGAGTAAAACATCAGACAGGGAAACATTCTGTGAAAGTTTCATTGAGTGTAAAACAATGCTCAAATGTGTACACTAACTATATTGAATGCTTCCTTTTTTTAGAAAACCTTTTGTTGAGAAAACATGTATACTTTTTCAAAACAAACTTTCTTTGAAAAATATAATTATTTTTAAATCAAAAAGTCAACCGTTAGATGAAATATATTGGATATGAATCAAATTGCAAAAAATATCACTTTAATTTTT